TTGTTTTGTTTTTTACTGAACTTGTGATTTCATCAGTGTAGGAAATTCCTCTAGTGACACAGATGGGAAACATCTTCTGTGCATTAGTCTTAGAAAGTTTCCTGGATATGCCAAAAGGTTAAGTGATTTGTCCAGACCACAGTTATAGGCATGAAGCAAAATTAGAGAGTCACCTCCTCGTCAGATGGAGTTTGGAATTTGTCACAAGTGTGAGCCTTAGCTCTTCTGTTATACCCTCTGAGAACACAGGGTCAGCTTTATTTTGTGATGAAGCATTAAAGGACTTTAGTGGGGATCTATGCTCCATAATAGTTTCTGTCCATAAATGTCATGTTAGAAGCTTGTGATAGAATCAACCCTCTGTCTCAGTTATGTATTTGATAGAAGGAAAGAATTTAGAACTGGAAAAAAACTTTAAAGATTCTACTCTGAGGGGTTTTTAACAGTCTATGAAATTAAAAAAATCTTTTGATTTCTATATTTAATTGCTTTCCTTTATAATTCTATGGATTTTATGCATTAAAATCTATATTTTCAAAAGAAGTCCATAGATAGGCTTTACCAGACCACCAAAGGGTTCATGATCTATAAAAAGTGAAGAGCCCCTGATCTCCACTGACTTGCTCATTTTATAGATGAGAGTGGGTGAGTAATTTTTCCCAATATGACCCAAATAATAAGTGATAGAGTTGGTATTCAAACCTAGGTACTCTAACTCCAAATACAATGTCTTTGCCACTATATCTTGCAGTCTCCCTTTAGGTGCTTTAATTGAATATTCTGGAGAACACAGGATCATAATCTGAAACTAGGACATCAGAAGATAACTAGTCTAAGCACCTCTTTTTCTATTTGAAGAAACCCAGGTTTAGGCATTTAAAAAAAGTTAATACATTTTTATTGTCTTTTTTTAAACTATCACCTAGATTTCCTCATTTTCCTTACTCTACCCCCTTTTAGAGCTATCCCTTATAAGAAAGTTTTTTTTGAAGGAAGAAAGGAAGGAGAAAGGAAAGAAGAAAGGTAGGAGGGAAGGAAAGAAAGAAGGAAGGGAAAATAAAGGGAGAAAGAAAGGGAGGGAGGGAAAGAAGGAGAGAAGGAAAGGAGGAAGGAAGGAAAAGATCAAAAGAGTTAAGAGAAAAAAGAAGTCCATATTTTTTATTTTGTTTTGCCCAAGTTCACATAGGTAGTAAGTGTTGTAGGTAGGATTTACCCAGAGCTCTTACTCTAATTCATGATTAACGTCATACCACCACATTGTTAAATAATGAAAATACATGCATATGTTTAAGCCTAATCATATGAGCTTAATAACAATTAGAGGAGTTACAATTCATTTTAGCTCCTTTGATGAGGATGGAGAGACAGAGAAACAGGGACAGAGAAAGAGAGACAGTGAGAGAGAGATAAAAAGGAGAGAGGGAGACAGAAAGAGAGATGGAAAGAAAAGGAGGGACAGAAGGAAGGAAGGAGAGAAGAAGGGAGGGAGGGAAAAAGGAGAGTAGGAGGGAAGGGGAGAGGGAGAAGAGGGGGTTTAGGGATTTTACTACTTTTCAGAAAATTTACTTTGTAAGTTATGAGATATGTACCCAGAGTCAAATTGAAGGCAATAAATACAAAATTAACTTTTCTTGAAGATAAAAGGAATTACTCTGAAAGATTTGAGTTCAAAGTTGGGTGGCTTTGCTTAAAAGTAGAATTGAGTAATATTTGGGGATATAAAACAGATGCAGAGGGTCAGCACACAACATGGTTCCCCAGAGTAATGAGGCAGCTCTCCCGATCTTCTTGGGCACTTATTCTTCCTGACTGTTAATTTATGTGCCTATGAAACTACATTAGATACTGTGGAGTTGACCAGATCATTTCCACAGACAGATAAATTAAATCATAGGGAGCCAATCACAGGAAGTCCAAGCAAAATATTAACACTTTGTCTGGCTAAATATTATCACAAACTTTGAGAGTTGGAAGGGACTTCTGTGGTGATCTAGTCCAACTCACACATAAAAGGAGTTCTTGCTATAACATGCTTGAGAAGTGATTGTCCACCCTCTGCTTAAAGACCTTGAAGGAGAGTGATCCCATCACCTTCTGATCCCACCACCATTCAAAATTTTTTTTTATTTTACTACATGGTTTTTAAAATTTTTTTAAAGTTTATTTTATTTTTAACTTATGGAATAAAACAAGCATTAGCATAACATAGTATAGTAAAAAAAGATAATTGCACATGAAACTGCAAATGTATTATGTACAACTTGCTATTTCTTTTAAATATATAATAAAATATGTAAACTTTTCCCTTTTTTTCTTCCCCCCACCCTAGAAAGAGCTACCATTAAACACAAATATGTACATATATATGTAAAATCATTCTATACATACTTCTATGTATCAGTTCTTTCTCTGGATGTAGATAGCATCTTCCTTCATGTGTTTTTCAAATTTTGAATAGGTCTAATGGTTAGGAAGCCTTTTCCTGAAATCAGTCCTAGCCTCTTTTCATCTTCTACCCATTGCTCCTGGTTCTGTTCTCTGGGACCAAATAGAGTGATCCTATTCCCTCCTCCTTATGACAGCACATTAACTACTTGAAGATGATTATCATATCATCCTCTCTACCTCCCCCCACTATACTCTCCCAACTCTGGTTTTCTCTTCTCTAAGTTAAATATGTACATACGGTTCCTTCAACCATTCCCCATGGACTCAAGGCCCTTCACCATCCTGGATGTACTCTTTTGTATGCTTTCCAGTTTAACAATATACCCATTTGACTATTAGAAATACTCTAGTTAACTACAAAGGACCTATGAAGGAAGACTATCTGCATCCGGAGAAAGAACTGGTAAATAGAAGTATGTATAGAATGATTTACATACATACATACACATATACATACATATACACACACATAAGTATTTGTGCCTATCAGAAGCCATCTCTGGGGGTGGGGGAGGGAAGAAGAAAAAAAGAAATATACATGATAACTTTATTATATATTCAAAAGGAGTAGCAAGCTGTACATAATATAACTGTAGTTTCATGTGTAATCATCTTTTTTATTATACCATGTTTTAGAAAAACTTGTTTTATTCTATAAATTAAAAATAAAATAAAATAAAACAATATGCCCACAGATACATCTCAAATCCTATTTCCTTTTTGAAACTTTCCCTGACTACTCCAGCTTAAAGCAAGCTCTTCCTCATCCTTCTATCACTCCTTAAAACTTATTTATCGCTTATCTTTGGTTCATGAATTATCATGAGATAATGAGGTAATACTAAGTGAGACAATGTAGGTAATATAATGTATATACATTGCTTTATGTCTTTCAAAGCACTATATAAAAGCAGTTATTATTATTACTATTAATGTGTCATCTCTTCCATTACCATGAACTGTTGTTTACCTGTTCCATTCAACTTTTTGTATATTTATTACTCATCTTTCCAAAGTAGATTGTCAGGCCCTAGAGGCAAGGAGTCATTATTTATGAATTCTGGTTGACTTGAAACAACCTAGTGAGAGTCTCTAACTGGGAAATGTGACTATGTTGAGAAAAGTTTTTTTTGTTGTTGTTGTTTTTTGGTGAGGCAATTGGGATTAAGAGACTTGCCCAGAGTCACATAGCTAGTGTGTGTTATGTGAGGCCGGATTTGAACTCAGGTCCTCCTGCCTCCAGGACTGGTGCTCTATCCACTGCGCCACCTAACTGCCTGGAGAAAAGTTATTTTGAGACTAAAAAGATTCATGCAAATATAACCAAAGTGCAGAGACAGTGAGGTGCAATGGATACAGGACTATACTTGGCACCAGGAGGTCCAGGGTTCATATCCTACCTCCAGTATCGACTTTATGACGTGGACAAGTCCCTTAACCTCTATGTGGCAACTCAGTAGAAGAATTTATCTACTAGTCACAGATGAACAGTGATATTAATTGGTGTGTTCTCATGGTACTGAAATACAGGCTCCTTCCTTTCTTATTTACAGTAACAGTCATAAACTGATTAGTTCATATATGATAACTCCACCACATTTGGGCTTTTGAAAATAGTCATTTCATTGTTCTTCCCAGGTCTTTGATATATATGACTGAGACAAAAGCATTTGTTCAATTTGGTTAATTAAATGGAGGCAGGGGTTGGGGGGAGAGTTAAGACACATCGTGATGTAGTAGTTTTAAATTTTCCTTAATTTTGGTTTCTTTAAAATAAATGTTATTGATGTTTTTATATTGTCTAAATTCCTTCCATACATTTTCCTTTCCTTGTCTCAGAAATCTATCCCATATAAAAACAACAACAAAAAAAAAAAAAGAAAGAAAGAAAAGAGGAAGAGGAAGGAAAAAAAAAACTTGGTATACTGTGATCAATCTTGATGATTATCTGAATTTTTTACTTTTCATCTGAATATTTTGGGCTCCTGTAAACACAGGCAATAAACCTCTGGTTTGTGCTGAAGGGGCAGATTACGACCAGTGTGGGAGAGCTTTGCAACATGTTGGCAGGTGCTGGGTGTGGTAGTGCATGTCTGCAATCCCTTTTCCTGAGGAGTCTGAGGCTGTCAAATCTCTTGGGTTTAGGAGTCCACAGTGGGCTAGACCACTTAGATGTCTGCATTAAGTGTAGCATGAATATAGTGATCTCCAGGGAGCAGGATTCCAGGAGGTTGCCTGAGGAGAGAACTGATCAGGTTGGAAATAGAGCAGGCCAAAACTTTTGTACCAATCAGAGTGGCCCAGAAGGAGTCTCTGTTACTTCTAGCCTGCAGAAAATAAGCACACCCAGTCTTAAAAAAAAAAAAAAAGCCTCATGGCAGGTAAGATCTTTCTGGGGTATTGGCTAATGCTTTGTTACTAACATCACTCATCCACTCTTAATTGTTATAGATAAGACTGTTGTGAAATGTGTCTGTGTAGTATATAGTTCACCCTTAAAGCAGGATTGATTGAATTCTTTTTTTTTTCTCCTTGCCAAACCCTTCTGACAGTTTCAAAGACAGCATGGAGAAATCTTCTTATTCAGACTGGCTTATCAATAATAGCATTGCTGAGCTGGTAGCTTCCACGGGCCTTCCAGTGAACATTACTGATGCTTATCAGGATCCTCGCTTGGATGCCGAAGTAAGAGATGTTCTTTCATTTCAATCTCAATTCGCATTGTCATATTGTTGTGTGCCGTGTGTAATAACAAAAGCTAATGTCAGACAGAAGAATGGCATTGCTGGAATTTATCCTTTCACTTTGACATCTTTTTAAGTTCAGAGCTCTAACATTTGCATTGGCACCTGAAAGACAGAGACATTTTCCAAATTCTGCCCTATTTCCTGGTAAGGTTGCTGCCATCTTTTTGGTCTAATGTTGTTTGTGCTTAACTAGGGAAAACTGTAGTTTAAATGCAGATAATTTAAATATTAATCAATCAATAAATAAAAATTTATGTAACACCTACTGTATGCCAAGCACTGTGGTAGGCGCCAGGAGAAATCAGGACAAAAGTAAACCAGTCCCTGATCTGATGGAGCATGTATTCTAGTGGAGGAGACAACATGTACATATATAAATATACACATGATCTATATAAGAGGAATCCAAGGTGGTTTGGGGAGAGATGACACTGGCAGCTATGGGAATCTGATGAAGACAGCACTACAGCTGAGTCTGAATGAATGAATGAAAAAACAAGCATTTATTAAGTGTTTATTATGTGCCGTGCACTATGTTATGTGCTGAGGATATCAAGACAAAACTGAACTCATCCATGATCTTGAGGAAATTATTTTCTAATGAGAAACAGAAAATACATATATATATAATATATGCACACCTATACACATATAAACAGTAACTCTATATTATACTGTTATGCCTATATATCATGTCATGCATATGTAATATCATATCATGCAATATGATATGCTGCTATATGTCACACACATGTCATAACATGCACATACAATATGTTGTTATACAACATGCTGTTATAGGTTAAGCTGTGATATACTTATATGTCATGTCATACATGTGTCACATCATGTGATAGTCCCACATGTTATGCTTCTACATACCATACACATGTGCACATGTCATATCATGGCATGTACAACACTATGCTGTCATGTAGTACCCTGTGTTATACACACATGTCATGTCATGCCATGTATATGCCATGTCATACATATGTGATACATTATTATACATTGTTCTATGTTAGATGTCATGTCATTTCATGCAATACAATATGCTGTTATACATTGTGCTGTGTTACATGTTATACTATGTTATATCTGTATGGCACACATATGCTAAGACATCTATATATCATGCAATGCACAATGATATGCTGTTATATATTATGCTGTATAATGCCATGCTGTTACATGATATGCCATGTTGTGCCTATATGTCATGTGTGTTATATCATGTACATACAGTGTTACTGTGTCACACATGTTGCATCATGTCACACATATGAAGGTCAGTTAGGTCCCATTTCACTCCTCTCCCTGGAGCTCTCTAGTTACCCTTATGGGAATTTGGGGGATGTTCAATCTCCCTGCCATTGGTTCAAGCACCCACTGATTTTTTAAAAAATATATTATTCCCCTCCATGCACTATCATCCAGTCATACCGGACTATTTGCGGCTTCATGCAGACCTCTGCAATGTCTGTCCCCCATACCTAAAATGTGTGACCTCCTTGCCTTGACCTTTATTCCCCAGTCATCTTTCTGTCATGTTCCTGTATTCTGGCCTTCACCTCTAACCCGGCCCTTCAGCTCTTCCCTGAGCCCCTGGGCTTCTAATTAGTGACCATTCACCATAAACAGCTGGCCCAGACCCTCAGTGTTGTTATTGCCTGGAGATCTTCATTCTGTGGTCCTGGCTTTTGGCCTCCATCTCCAACTGGGCTCTCCAGCTGTGTAGGCAGAGGGTCCTATGCGGATATATATGTGTACACACACACACATGTATATACACATGCATACATACATAAACACATATATGTAATGCATACACAACACACATACATGTACACATATACATAGGTGTATATGATTTTTTTTTTCCATATTAGGAACTCCGGGTGTGAAAACTCCTTCTAATGCAGTCATGGATTTTGCTGATCACTAACTTACCATGTTAGACATTTGTCTAGGGCAGTGCTTCTTAAACTGTGGGTCACGGCCCCATATGGGGTCACAGAAAATTTGGCAACATTAAAAGGTTTCTGAATGTGCAATGACCAAAAACTAATTCAAAATCAAATGCATAATGAATCCGAGGTGTTTCTGGTAGCGCTTGCCCATGTGGCATGGTGCAGCTTCACTGCAGCCTTAGTTCTGAACACAAAGCATGCACACTTTGCACTATGCATGCCAACATGCCATACAACACCAGCAAATACTGCCAAAATGCGAAAAAGAGTGGCAAGTGGAAAAAGTTTAAGAAGCCCTGGTCTAAGTCACATAAGAGTTAAGTGACTTGCCCAATGTCACACCGCTAGTATGTTTCAAAGGCAGAACTTGAGCCTAGGTCTTTCTTTTTCCAAGGCCAGCCCTCTGACCATTCAGTCACACTGTCCCTCAACAACAAACATCATAATAGCTGTCATCTAAATAGCCCTTTAAGGTTTGGGAAGCAGTGTACACACATTTATCATTTGGTTCTCACAATAACCCTAGGACTAGGGCTATTATTATCCCAACTTTATGGATGATGAAATTGAATTTCAGAGAGGTTAAATGTCTTATCCAGCATTGCACAATTCTAAGGCAGGATACAAACCCAGGTTTTTCTGACTCCTAAAATGTAGCATTTTCTCTAATCCTGCTTCACTATGTGATTCCTGTCCTTTAGAAGCTTACATTCTAATGCTGATTGCCACATATCAATGCTATCCATATATGTGTGATAGAGTATTAGTTAATACCACAGTCAATCAATAAGCACTTATTAAGCACCTACTATGTGCAGGGCAATGCACTAAGTGTTGTACAGGAACATTTACAGATCTTTATATGTTTATAGATATAGTTGAATTCAGCAACAAGCATTTATTAAAGGATTCCTCTGTGCTGGAAACTACTATATATTTTAAAATTGAGACATAAGATCTTTAAAGAGGATTACCTAGGTGCAAATGATGGAATTAATTATATCAATTGGACATAATCTTTGAGTCTTCCCAACATTTGATTAACTCTGATACAATTGGCTTCAAGTTTGATTTATGTTTTCTTAAGAATGGGTCTCCTTATCTCTCCCAAGCTGGAAGCATAGAGGGTACTAACATTCCAATCCCACTATTGATGATTATGAATGCTTTGACCTGTTCCGTTTCTGTCATGGTCCTGTTCATCTCTCCTTAGGCAAACTGGTGGCCCTTACAACTAGAGATTCACCATATAAATGCCCAACTTATTGCAGACATCTGGTAGGCATAGCCCATTACAACTCAGAACACCCAAGCTTAAGTGATTCACTAGCCTCGGTTTTCCTAGCAGTTAGGATGTACCACCACAACTTGCAGGTTTGATTTAATTTCACTGAGGGTAAGGGACTGTTTCTTATTTGTTCTGGATCCTCTGAAACTCCTAGAGTAGACTCTTTCCCAGACTATATGCATTGCAAAGATTCACTGAATCCCCAAAACACTTTGGCCCTATGATCTCAACATGGAAAGCCATCTTGAAGTTGAAATGAGCTCCTGTACTGTGGTATTAAGATGTATTGGATAAGTATCTTTTTGTCGTTTTGACTTTTGTGATTTTTCTTTCCTCCTGAGTTTTAAGGAAAATATATAGATGAATTATATGTTTGTGTAGTGTAGTGACTATTTTGCTGAGAAACTCTCCCAGTCATCTCCCAAAAGCCTCAATAAACTTTTCTGGACAAGCTGGAGAGCCTACTCTCAAGAACTAGGAAATCTTTGATTGGTATCTCTTGGTTATCAAGTAAATATATTGAATGAAGTATAAAACAGGAAAAATGTTGATCCCTCTTCCCTCCTCTCTTCTTCTTCACTCCCTCCTTCTTCCCCTCTAGTAGCCTGCAGGACAGATAGGGTATATGAGAAGCATCATTCCAGAGTGTGCTAAGGAACACATACAACAGTATCAGTTTTGAGATAAATGCAAGTGAGGCATCAAATAATGCAGCTACTGCTTTTTGACAAAAGATGCATTAGAGCAAGTGCAGTTTATGCCTTGAAACAACTTTTGGATAGCAAGATATGGGGAATTTAAATATGCCATCTCCTTGCTGGATCTACAGATCTGCTTTTAATATGTCATGGACTGATTAATTACAGCCATTTTACATTTGTGTCAAACTCACAGTCCATGACAATAAGGGGTGCTACCTACATTAGCTACAAAAAGAAAGGTAAGAACTCTCAAGCACGAAGGACAATTATTTTCTGTAGATTTGTCAGAAAGATTTCATTCTCTGGGTCCATTAGAAGAAATAGTGTCTGCAGACAGCAAAGAGTGGGCTAAGAATTAGGAAAACTGCATCTTTTCCAGAAATATAACACAATTACACCTTTGCAAAGGCTACCCCTCTATGCCTAGAGCATCCTCCCTTATCACCTCCATCCATTTCCTGCTGTTCCTCCAAAGTGTTACTTTCTATTGGAGATCTCTTGAGAGCCCCTAAGTTGTTAGCACTCTTTCTCTCTTTCTACCCCTACAAATACACAGTATTTACTTACCCAGATACATATGGTGTCCTTCCAGTAGAATGTATGCTCCTCAAGGGTAGAGAGGGCTTTATCTTTATATCCTCAGTACCTAGCCTAGTTCTTGTATATGAGAGGAGCTTAGTGGAATGGAATGTTGGGATGGGATGTCTTGCTGTGTATATATACCTTCAGGCTGCCATACAATTAACATTGGACCATAGTTCTACCGTGAGATGATTTTTACACTTATTTATGTATGCTGCTCTTTGATTTAAGACAAAAAGCATTTGAGGAAGGATACTTGGTTGTGAGAGAGTTTTTCCTAGTGAAAGATTTGTGTTTAAATGCTGTTTTCTAGGATAGTGAAGAGAAAAGGTTCTTGCCAAAATGGCTCATTACCTAACAAGGGAAACAATTTGTCAGCATAAGATTTCTCCCT